TGAGGGTGACTTTTCTCAGCACTAAGTCCCCGGGTTTAAAATGGAGAATCTTGGTTCTTCGATTATAGTATCTTTCGATTCGCTATTTTTGGGCGGCCAATCAGACGAGAGCAGCTTCTCGTTTTCATCCGATAATTCGAGGCTAGTATTCATAGCTTCGTCATTTGACTCTTATGTTGTATATCGAAACCTGGCACTGGATTCCCCGACTTCGATCGGAATCAAAGCTTCGGAGTCATATACTAAGGAGAACGGGGTTTCCCCCGTACTAGATTTTGATGTTGTTCGATATGCCCAAAGAACTTCAGGTAGGGTTTCTCTCTATTTTTCCTTAGTGTCATTCAACCTTTTCTTTAGGTTTTGAATGATAGTTTTGTTTGTTGACTCGGACTGTCCGTTCCCGCTAGGGTGATACGGTGTAGATAATATCCTTTTTATTTTGTGGTTTTCGATCAATTTCGTCACTTTGCTTCCGATGAACTGTTTTCCATTGTCGCACACTATTTCAGCGGGTATCCCAAATCGACATACGATATGATCCCAGATAAAGTCTATAACCTCTTTCTCTCTTACTTTTACGAATGCTTGTGCTTCAACCCATTTAGAGAAATAGTCAGTCATAAATAAAATGAATTTAGCTTTACCTGGGGCAGACGGCAGAGGGACGACGATATCCATTCCCCATTTCATGAATGGCCATGGGGATAGGACTGAGTGAAGTTGCTCTCCGGGGCTGATGGATCATTGGCGCAAACCTTTGACATTTGTCACATTTTCGAACAAACTCCTTTGCATCTTTGTCCATATCGATCCAATAATACCCTGCCCTGATTATTTTTCGGACTAATGAATCGGCTCTGGAGTGATTTCCACAAGTACCCTCGTGAATCTCACGTAAGATGTAGTCGGTGTCTCCTGGACCTAAACATACTGCCAATGGACTATCGAATGTTCTTCGGTATAACGTTCCATCTGCAGCTAATGTGAATCGAGCGGCTTTGGTTCGCAGAGCCCTCGAATTTTTAGGGTCCGATGGGAGCTTTCAATTCTTCAAGTATTCAATATACTTATTCCTCCAATCCCAGGTTAAGCTTGTAGAATTTATCTCGGCATGACCTTCTTCGATTACGGATCTCGAGAGTTGAATAACAGTACTCGAGTAGATTTCGTCTTCGTCGACCGATGATCCCAAATTTGCAAGCGCATCGACCTCGCTGTTTTGTCCTCAAGGTACATGCTGTAAAGTCCATTCTTCGAAATGGTGCAAAGTGACATGCAGTTTGTCCAAATACCTTTGCATTCTATCATATCGAACTTCGAATGTTTAGTTCACTTGATTTACCACCATTAAAGAGTCACATTTGGCTTCGATGACCTCCACTCCCAAGCTTTTAGCTAACTCGAGGCCTGCAACCATGGCCTCATACTCGGTTTCGTTGTTAGTCAATCTAATAGTTTTGATAGATTGCCTAATAGTGCTACCCGTAGGCGGCTTTAAAACGGTTCCTAGCTCGGACCACTTCACGTTTGAGGCCCCGTCCGTGAAAAGGATCCATACCCCCGACGATGTACCCGATTTCGACAAGAGTTCTTTTTCGACTTCGGGTACGAGGGTAGGCGTGAAGTCGGCCATGAAGTCCGCTAAAATTTGAGACTTGATGGCCGTGCGGGGCTGATATTTGATATCATACCCACTAAGTTCGACGACCCATTTGGCCAATCGGCCCGATAGTTCGGGTTTACGCAAAATATTATGAAGTGGGTACGTTGTGAATACGCATATGGGGTGACATTGAAAGTATGGTCTTAACTTTCTAGAGGCGCTTATCAGTGCAAGTGCTAATTTCTCTAAGTGTGGATATCTAGTTCTTGCTTCTCCTAAGGTTCGACTCACATAATAAATGGGAAATTGCGTACCTTGTCGAACTAGGATGCCACTTACTGCGATTTCCGATACTGCCAAGTACAAGCAAAGCTTTTCGTTAGTTTTTGGAGTATGAAGCAGTGGTGGGCTCGATAGGTATCGCTTCAATTCCTCTAATGCCTGTTGGAATTCCGGGGTTCGAGCAAAATCATTTTTCTTTTTGAGTAGAGAGAAAAATTTGTGACTTCGATCCGACGACCTTTGAGTAGAGAGAAATAAATAGGCCTAAGGCGGCAATCCACCCCGTTAGCCTCTGCATGGCTTTTACACTGTCTACGATGGCGATGGCTTTGATTTTATCGGGGTTGATCTCAATCCCTCGATTTGATACCATGAAGCCGAGGAATTTACCCGAACCGACCCAGAAAGCACATTTCTCGGAGTTGAGCTTTATTTTGTACTTCCTTAAAATCTCGAATGTTTCCTGCAAATGAGCCAAATGGTCCTCTGCGCGCAGGGACGTAAGTAGCATGTCATCAATATAAACTTTCATTGATTTACCTATTTGTTCTTCGAATATCTTATTGACTAACCATTGATAAGTAGCGCCTGCATTTTTTAGCCCGGAGGGCATTACATTATAACAATATGTTCCATACTTGGTTACAAATGAAGTCTTTTCCTGGTCTTCCGGGTTTATTTGGATTTGATTATACCCGGAATAGGCATCGAGAAAAGTAAGGACCTCGTGGCCGGTCGTGGCCGACCATGGCATCGATCATGAGATCGATGTTGGGCAGTGGAAAAGAATCTTTGGGACATGCCTTGTTCAAATTCTTATAATCTATGTACATTCTAAGTTTGTTCCCCTTTTCAGGGACTACAACTACATTGGCTAACCATTCGGGAGATTTTACCTCCCGAATGGACCCTATTTTGAGAAGTTTAGTTACCTCATCCTTTATGAATGCGTGTTTTACCTCGAACTGGGGTCTTCTCTTTTGCTTCACCGATTTGAACCTCGGGTCCAAGCTTAGCCGATGCGTCATTATATCCGGTGGGAATCCTGTTATACCTAAATGGGACCAAGAAAAATAATCTATGTTATCGATAAGAAATTTAATGAGCCTTTTCCTGAGTTCGGGGGTTAATCTCGTCCCCAGGCATAACTTTCGTTGGGGCAAATGCTCGATTAGTACGACTTTCTCCAATTCTTCAATCGTTGAATGGGTAGCGTCGGAATCATGGGGAACCATGAAAGATCGATGGATACATTGATCATCATCTACCTCGATTTTCTGATTTTTCGGTTGGGTTGAAGCTAACGTCTATAATTGCTATTTGGAATCTCGTTCCCTTTTTGAGTCTGATTCCTTTATTGACGAAGGTGAGGATATCAGAATTGTTTCTTTGACCACAAACATTTCCCTTGCAGCCGGTTGTTCTCCGTACACTGTTTTGACTTCCTTTAGTGTTGGGAATTTAAGAATCTGGTATAGGGTCGAAGGTACATCTCTCATGTTGTGGATCCATGGCCTTCCAAAAAGGGTGTTGTACCTCATGTCGCCTTCGATTATGTAGAACTTTGTTTCCTGGATGGTCCCGGCCACGTTTATCGACAGAATTATCTCACCTTTAGTGGTTTCACATGCCATATCGAACCCGTTTAGAACCAGGGTTGCAGGTACGACCTAGTTCTGTAGACCGAGCTGTTGTACCACCTTCGATCTAATAATGTTGGACGAGTTACCTGGATCATTTAACACACGATTAACTTTAGTTTTATTCATACGTAAGGATATTACCAGTGCATCATCTTGAAGACCAGCTTCGTTGTTGATAAGTTAGGCCATTTAATCGATAGTTAGTCGTTGCTAATCCGAAACCAAAGATACTTCCGGAAACAAGAGCAAAATGGTATATTTTTGTGGATTCGTATCAAACAACCACTGTTATCCTTAGCCCTACGGTGGGCACCAATCTGTTTACCAGAAAAACGGATATAGTTGAATTTGTACACAGTTCTAAGGATACGTGGTATAATTTAATACAAATCGTAGGGATAAGTAGAAATATCAACTGTGGATTACAAAGAACGCTAAATAAACGAGGTTGGAAAGAAGATGACTTTTAGAACTGAGCAAGATGAATCAATGTATAAAGCTTAAAAGAACATCCCTTCAATATAGGAATGTATGATGTTTTTGTTACAATGCTCCGTCACAGAAATGTAGCTATGCTCTTTATAGTGGAGGATCCTACTTTAAATATAATTAAAAATACATAGTGAAAAACTCATGATAGATCAGTTTTTCCCTAATTCCTGCTGGGATTCCTTCCCATAGTGTGGTTGCAACGGCTCTTGTCTGCGAGCTCGAGCTTGATCGGACTCGGTATCGGTCGGTATTAATTTAGTGCTCGATACGGACTTGAGCTCGGTGCTGACTCGGGGTCTGGGCTCGATATCGGCTGGCTTTTGCCCCTCAAGCTCGATTCCATAACATCTCAACACAGTTTGATCTGGACCCGAGCTTAATGACGACTTCGAACTCGGTGCTTGATCGGTCCCCGAAAATTGAAGCTCATTCGTGTCTTCTTTGGGTCCTATCTCAATATTACAAAGACTTTCTTCGATCCATTATATTTCGACCCCGATCGATAGTACGAAGACCGAAATCTATTTCGTCTGTATGTACACAATATAATTTTTGGTTAAAGGGGTTCCGCTGAACCCCTTCCGCCCACCTAACTCTGCCCTGCTCCTAACATGCCTGGTTCTTTTTTGTTTTACAAGAGATAAATATTATTAAATGTTTTAATTTTTTTATATTATCTTGTTTACCCGAAAAACGGATAGAGTTGAATTTGTACGCAATTCTAAAGACACGTGGTATAATTTAATACAAATCGTAGGGATAAATAAAAATATTAATTGTGGGTTACAAAGAACGCTAAATAAACGAGGTTGGAAAGAAGATGACTTTTAGAATTGAAAAAGATAAATCAATGTATAAAGCTTAATTTTATATCCCTTCAATATAGTAAACACGCGAAAAAGCTAAGGGGATTAAAAAAAAAAATATTGACCTTAGGTACACAATATAATTTTCGGTTGAAGGGGTCTTCCGTCCACCTAACTCCTCCCCGCTCCTAACATGCCTGCTTCTTTTTTGTTTTACAAGAGATAAATATTATTAAATGTTTCAGTTTTTTTATATTATCTCTTAGAGTTATATTAGTTAAACTTAGCGCAAGACCTGTGCAAATAAGTTTTTTTTTCCCTGGGAAGAGAAGATATCCTTTATTGGGATGAAGAAAGAATTGGGTTGACTAGGCCGAAGTGGTGTAATTTCCTTCTTTTCTTGCTTTCGTGGAGCATAAGATTCCTTAGAAAATTGATAGAATATTTCACAAAAGGACAATTGCATTATTTATGAGCAGCCTGTTGACCTTAACTAACTTATCTGTTAAGAAAAGTTTAGTTTTCTTTAAACTAAGAACAATTATGTCCTGCGCTGAAGAATTTCAAGCTGAATTGACAATGGATTATGATAGATCTAAGGAGATAAAGGCTTTTGATGATACAAAAGCTGGTGTTAAAGGACTAGTTGATTCTGGAATTTTGAACATACCAAGAATGTTCATTAGGCCAACTCAAGAACTTGTTGAAGAGTTGAATCAGTGTAAGTCAACTCTAAAGATTCCAGTGGTAGATCTCAGTGGCATAGAAGTTGAAGATCGACGTAAGAAGATTGTTGATGAAATAAGAGAAGCATCAGAAAAATGGGGATTTTTCCAACTGATAAATCATGGTGTTCCTTCAAGTGTTTTGGAAGGAATGATTGATGGGATTCGTAAATTTCATGAACAAGATGTTGAGTTAAAGAAAGAGTACTATTCGCGTGATCGAATAACAAGAAGAGTTAGATATGAGAGCAATTTTGATTTGTATCAATCAAAGACTGCAAACTGGAGGGATACGTTGAACTTTTCAAGGCTAGTTTGTGGTCACATTGAACCTGAACAAATACCAGCAATTTGCAGGTGACCATCCTCTGCCCTTAAATTGTTACTCTATATCAGTCCTGTTCTACTAGTTGAAATTGGTTAGGAAAGATCAGAACTATTGAATTTTAGTAAGACCAGTTGTAGTTTTTTCTTTTATGTTCTTGGCTTTGCAGAAAATCTTATCTGAGAAGCAGATATGTTTACTTATTTAGCTGTTTTTTTCCAACATAGATCCTTCTGCAGATCTTCCTAATTTAGGTTTACTGTGCACCTCAAGGACACTAGCGAAGCCAGAAATTTCAGTAACGGTGTCAAAATATAAGAAAATAAACATACAAAGAAACTAAGGGGATTCAACATATCGTATATATACATAAACATAAAATTTTGACCTAACTACACTGTAATTTTCGGCGAAGGAGTGCCAATTGACAACCCTTAGATTAAGGTGGCTGCTCCACTGCTCGTGGAGCTTTTCAAGTATTGTAGAGTAGAGATGGTGACATTGTTCACGGCCTGGTATTTTCGTCGAGTACTTAAAGCAACTGTTTGGACAGATGAGCTAAAATCACCGGGCTGAGTTATTCATAGGGATATATGCTTCAGCTGTTTTTCTGTCTTTCAGTAATGGGTACAGACGTACAGTTGTTTGACTACTAGATTAGAATCTCTTGAACTTTTTAAACTTAGTAATCTCTGTTGTTTTTCTTAATGTCCAGGAAAACATCTCTTGAGTACATAAATCATGTCATAAAACTAGGGGAAACTCTTTTTGACTTACTGTCAGAAGCTCTTGGGCTAAAACCAGACCACTTGAAAGCCATGGAATGTGCCAATGGACAAGCATTGGCATGTCATTACTACCCAACATGCCCACAACCAGAGCTAACTCTTGGCGCCGATAAGCATACAGATCCTGCTTTCCTCACCATTCTGCTTCAAGATCAAAGTGGTGGCTTTCAAGTCATGCATAATAACCAATGGGTTGATGTTGAACCGATTGAACGAGGTTTGGTTGTTAATATTGGTGACCTTCTTCAGGTTCGCAACAAAACACAATCTTTTCTGTCTCATTTATTTACGGATTATTACTTATCTCAATCTGATTTTGTAACAGATACTATCAAATGACAAGTTTATAAGTGTGAATCATAGAGTTGTAGCGAATGAGGTAGGACCAAGAATGTCAGTGGCATGCTTCTTCACTGGTGTTTTTGAACCTGCAAAGATGTATGGCCCAGTCAAAGAGCTCATATCAGAAGAAAATCCCCCTCTTTATACAGAATTTACAGTAAGCGATTACATCAGTAAGTTTTTCTCGAGACCACTTGATACGTCTGGTCTTGACCTGTTCAGACTCTAATGAGTGACATGACTATACATCTCTATAGTAAACAGAACAATGTCAAAATTCGTGATTTGCTGCACATTAGTCTTTTACCAACAATGAGTAATAAGAGTGCTTTTGCATTCTGCTTTGCACAACTAAGTAAACTTCTAGCCCTGAAGTTTATAGCCACCTACTTGCATTTTCGTCTTTTTTCACCCAATGTTTTGCTTCATTTCTCTGAACATAGTTTTTACTTCAATCTGTTATGAAGTTGTCAATATATCATCCATGTTGAGCGTCCTGCATTACCAGCTAGTGTCGAACAATGGCGCAGCCAGGAATTTCGCAAAGGGTGTTCAAAATTTAATATATATATATTTATAAAAAGTAATTTTAACTTATTACATAGTATAATTTTCTATATACTCAGTATAATTTTCCGATGAAGGGTCACACTATGTGGCTATGCCACTGTTGTCGATTATTCAATGCATGGAAACATTTTTCACCTCATTATTCAACGCGAATTTTAACTGCATTGGCCGCAAGAGATTGGAGAAAAAAAATAAGAGTGAACGAGAAAGACAGCATTTTGTGTACCATGTGAACAGATTGGATAAAACTTGTTCATTGGGAAGTAAAATTCTCAACAAATGATGGTTTTTGGATGAACAAAATCACATGAAAGATCACAAGATTTCTACTAACAGATAACTATGGTTAGATGGATCAGATGAACATTTAGCTTGAAGTAGGAGTCAATGAGGTACCTCAAGAAATGTTTTCTAGCTCTAGTACTATAATTTGGATCTCAATCATTCCAACCATGGACATTGCTTGACATTAAGCAAAGATAATGAAAAGGATAGGCAATTTGTTTTCCTTTTTGTGAATTCAGTTTCGTAACTCAAAAGTTGTGCGAGCAAAGATGAAAGTCCTTTCCATTAAAACAACTTTCTTTGCTCATATTTTTCTCGGATAGTTCATTTGAAATAGTTTTGTAAAGTTTAGTTATTAATTAATGAGATAAAGTTTCTTTCGAAAAATACTTTTTGAAAAATATTTTTCTGTCATACCAGTGAGTTGTGCGCTATGTTTAGGTCAAGAGGGTTCAACATCTTCATTATAACTGTATTTTCTCAAAGAAAGATAAAATAGACATATACACACAGTATAATTTTTCGACTAAGCGGGTTTATATGAATCTGCTTGATCCCATGTAGGGGCGGTAGGTCCGCCCCTGAGCATGAACAGGAAAAAACTTACAATATTAGGGGGAAAAAGTAGGGTGCCGGGTAGAATTAATAAACACATAGGATAAATGGTAAATTATGATTATTAAATAGTTAATAGTGATATAATGCGCAAAAATATAAATAGCTCTTTTCATCGTTATGTAACAACAGATTTAACAATATAATATAATAAAATTAAAGTAACAATCAAAATAAATATTATTTTTGAAGTAACAATGCAATACATTACAATACAATACAACGCAATACAGTACGGTACAGTACAATACAATGCAATACAGTACAATACAATACAATGCAATACAGTACAGTACAGTACAGTACATACAATACAATACAATATAATACAATGCAATACAGTACAGTACAATATAATACAATACAATACAGTATAATACAGTACATACAATACAATACAATACAAATTGAAACGGAGGGAGTAGTAAATAAGGATATAATGCGAAAAAAATATAAATGGCTCTTTTCGTTGTTATGTAACATCGGATTTAACAATACAACATAATAAAATTAAAGTAACAATCAAAATAAACATTATTGTATTGAAGTAACAATACAATACAATACAACGCAATACAGTACAATATAGTACAATACAGTACATACAATACAATACAATAGTACCTGAGTAGGATATATACACACACACTACACCATAGGGAGATATTGATTAATCACAGGCTGCTTCTTTGAATGAGCCTGACCTTCAAACCATGTTTCATTTTAAGTTGAAGGAGAATAGAAGCACTTGGAAAATCGAGATGTTGACCTTCCACTAGTTGGACTTGGTAGTTGAATATAATGGTAGCTGCAACCATTTTCATCTGAAAAAATGAGATGTCCTTTCCTAAACAAGTCCTTGGACCAGCATTAAACACTGGAAATTTGAACGATGGCTCGTGTTTGATCTTTCCTCGGCCACCAGAAATCCACCTCTCAGGCTTGAAATCCAAGCAATCATTTCCCCATAGTGTTTCCATCCTTCCCATTGTATAAAATGATAGTATCACTCTTTTGCCAGGACACAGATGATGACCACTAGGAAGGATGTCAGTTTCAGTTGCAATTTTGTGCTCCAAAGGAATTGGTGGGAACAACCTAAGAGATTCACACAATGCACCATGTAGATAAACCAGTTCACGCGATTCTTGTACGTTGAAAAACCTAAGATTTTCATCTTCTTTGAGCTGCAATATTTCTTGAATCTCATCCCTGATTGTTGTTTGTACCGAGGGATTTTTAGCAAGGAGCCAGAAAAACCAAGTGAGAGCTGAACTTGTGGTGTCTTTCCCAGCAAACATCAAATTCATGCAAGTATCCCTGAGAAATTGTTTTGCATTATTATTTTCCAAATCTGTATCAACAATATTCTTCATAAAAAGACTGTTGTATGCTTTCATACAGGCAGTCAGGAAGTCGAAATCCTCATCTTCTTCTTCGATAAAACCTGATCTTCTTAGCATCTCTTCTTGCTTTCTTGAAATACAAGAATATATGAGCTGATCAAAAGCCTTCCAAGCTTGACTTAGCTTTTTCTCTTTACCAACGCGGAGCCATTTTTGCAATTTCCAACAGCTTTCAGGCATTATATGTCTGTACAGAATGGCATCCCCGGCGTCCTGGAATGCATTTTTAAATAGAGAATCAGTAGGTAAATCAATGGACAAGCTACCTGGATCATGGTCAAGTAACAATTTGCTGATAGTGTCAAAAGTGAATCTCTGAAAAATATCTTGCAAATCAAAACAGGATCCTTGTTTAGCGAAATTGTCAAGAACTGGTTGCAGTCCTTTTACAACCTTGTCCCACACATTCCTCTCTAGGCAACTAAGGAACTTGGGATGGCTCATTATGGAAATAGTGATCTTCCTCTGAACTTCCCATAATTCGTTATCCACATTGAAAATTCCATCTCCCATAATGTCAAACATTTTCTTATATTCGGAACCTTTAGGATAGTTGTTGAAGTTTTTACTTAGCATATGGTGGAGGTTAACCGGATCGCTGCTGAACAACATGTTTAAGTTGGAGAAAACAGGCCCTTTGAACTCAAAAATTCCTTCACTTTCGATAAGGATCTCTGTAACAAATTCATGGAGACGATGAGTATTCCGAAGAAGCCCTGGTAACATTCCTATGAGAGGCCAATTTGTTGGTGTGACTGGTTTTTTGGACCATGTAATACCTCTAAGATAGATTAATAGTATAGAATAAGTTAAATACAAGATCAGTACTATATATATAATGACAAGAGTAAGTGAGTATTCAAGGATACCCATTTGGAGTAGCTGGGCGTTACTATGACACAAGGAAATTACAACATAGCGAAAGAAACAACAACATACCTAGTGTATTCCCACGAGTGAAGTAACAACGAAAGAAACAAAGAGTTAAATTTATAGGTGAGATACAGAGAACATTCAAGAGAAGCTAAATCTTAATTCATTGTGAAATAAAGGTGAGTATATTGTCTGTATTTATACACAAGCAAACTGAAGAAAATAAAAAGGATCAAATTACTTGCAACTAATATAGAGCTTATTATTTTTACAACCAAAATCCCAAGAATCATGCTAACTTAATATAATCCCAAGAAGCATTCTAACATAATTAATATACTTCCAAAGATCTTGCAAGCCAAATATAATCCCAAGAATCATGCTAAATATATGGAAAATTGTTGATAATGTTAAACAATATCATCAAATGTTTCTATCAGGACAGTGATAAAACTAGAGAATTAAGACGTGAGTACAAATTCCATTAAGAAGACCGGTGAAAATAGCACCGGCTAGCCAGTTTTTGGACTGGTAATTGAAAAATAGCTAGCGTTTGCAAAGTTATTAAAAAATATCCACCGTTTTGCTGAAACACGGAAAGTTTCAACATAACATGCTGGACTATAGAGCTCTTGCGTATAAACTTTCAGCATATTATGTTGGAACTTCAATACATTATGAAATTTCAGAATATTATGCTGGAATATCATGTGTAAAAAATTCGAACTCCAACATATTATACTAGAATTTTTCCGGATTTATAAGGGTTATTCTGTTTAGATTTTATCTTTAAATGTAAAAATGAGTAAATTTCGATTACTTTTGAAACTGTGACTACTTTTCAACTAATAGTTGTAAATCTAGCTATTTCTATTTTTTTCTTGAAGACCTGAGTAGATGTTTCTACTTGAGTACAAAGAAATATATCATGCTAACCGAATATGACCCCGAAAATCTTGCTAACCAAATATAATCCCAAGAATCATGCTAACATAATATAATCCCAATAACTTTGCAAGTCAAATATAATCCCAAGAATCATGCTAACATAATATAATCCCAATAACTTTGCAAGTCAAATATAATCCCAAGAATCATGCTAACATAATATAATCCCAATAACTTTGCAAGTCAAATATAATCCCAAGAATCATGCTAACATAATATAATCCCAATAACTTTGCAAGTCAAATATAATCCCAAGAATCATGCTAACATAATATAATCCCAATAACTTTGCAAGTCAAATATAATCCCAAGAATCATGCTAACATAATATAATCCCAATAACTTTGCAAGTCAAATATAATCCCAAGAATCATGCTAACATAATATAATCCCAATAACTTTGCAAGTCAAATATAATCCCAAGAATCATGCTAACATAATATAATCCCAATAACTTTGCAAGTCAAATATAATCCCAAGAATCATCCTAACATAATATAATTCCAATAATTTTGCAGGTCAAATATAATCCGACGAATCATGCTAAATACATCTTAACAGGAAAATTATTACAATGTTAAGACTTGGGTATAAATTCCGTTAAGACTTGACTAGAAGACTACGTTTCTACTTGAGTACAAAGAAATGGTAATTTGCTTGGTGATCACATTATTTCTTGAGAAGTTGTCCTTGATTTGTTACCTCCTGGTTCTCTTGAACAAAAGCAATATGTTACAAATAAATAAATAAAGATTAAGCAAACTCAATAACTCACTTACCGGTCAATTTAACTCCTTTCACGTAATGTTTATTATTATTATTGCTTTCGGTTGAAGTACAGATAAATCTTCCTAAAGAAAATTATGTGGAGGATTGTTTTGAAGATATGCTTCTTGTCTAATCTCAATTAAACCAATCATAAAATGTATATGCAAATTCTCCCTGTACTGCAAACCCTAAAACTAATCTTTTTGCATGTACAAGACATATATCAGTCATTTTTTGGACTTCATGATGTTGGGAAGAGAAAACATATACACCCATTCCAAATATACTCCAATACACTTGAACTAAGAGGAGCAAGCAAACTCAAGTACAAAACGATGTGTGCAGCCAATTCAGAGGCAGAGCCAGGATTAAAGTTAATGGGTTCTAAATTAAGAATTTGTACATATTTATTAGATTTCTTAAGACAAATACAAAGTTTGGACCAAAATTACTGGGTTCGGCCAAACCCATAACATAGATACTGGCTCCGCCCCGGGCCAGCCACGGGCAAAAGAAATTAAGGGTGGGAGACTTGGTAGTAATTGGTATAACAAATTTCAGACGAACTCTTGAACAGAGTTGCCTACAATTAGTAGACAATTTGGACTAAGGAATTTATTATTTGTCGAAATTGACATTTTATTTATAAGAAGTTTAAAGATATTGTTTCATGTTATTATAACTGTGATATTCCTGCTTTTAGAGACTGTGTACGGTCAAAATCGATTCTCAGTCATAAAGACCGGTCGAGACAATGACGTTTAAATCGAAGGGTATCCACATGACAAGCTCGGACCAATTCCGAAGTAGGGACGTCGAGTTTCGAGCTATAAACGGCAAAACTCGATATAATTATCGAGCCCGTATCCGAATCGGACTACGGGACAACATCGATCGATACAGGCCCCGAATATCGATGCCCCAAGGCAGAACCGAGCTCGAACCAAGACTGGGGGTTCGATCTAACACCGAGCTCGAGCCAGTGCCAAGCTCGCAGACAAGAGCCGTTACAACCGCACTGAGGGAGAGAATCTTGGCGAGAATCAAGGAAGAGACAAACCATCATGAGTCCTCCACTATATGTATTATTGTATTATGTTGTTATAGATAAAGCAGTGATACTCTACTATAAAAAGGGGGATAGACTGCAATAGAGGCAAGTCCTCCAAGATACATTAAGATTTCATTGTGCTTGTTTTTCTAACTTATTTCAGTCCTCTCGTCTATCATTCCCATTTTATAGCAAAAATACATGTATTGTCATTTTGTATCAAAGGAATTCGCATGCCCTTAGAACCATATCTAAATTTAACGTTATCCGATTTTTCGGGTAAACAGTTTGGCGCCCACCGTGGGGATAAGGGTAACAGTGATTGTTTGATATAAATCTACAGTACACTCCAGCTTACAACTTCAAAATGGCTCTACCTATCGACCTCGAAGCCGGCCTTCAAGATGAAACCAACAACTTGGCGCCCGGGGCCGAAAGGCTACCAGACGACGGCAACGAGGCTCGAATTGAAGAACCCAAAATTCGAGCCGAAGTACCATTGGATATCAATTCACAAATAGCTCTAGAAGTGAATCAGCGTTCTGAACTGGAAAGAAGCGTTCAGGGCGGTGCTCGACGCATAGCCCGAGACACCTACAGCACGGGGGAAATCGAGGCCAGCTTGCCTATGATTTTCGAAATGTTACAAGCCCAACAAACAGCGATAGCTCAGTTGCAGAGCCGAACTCATATGCAAAGCGGGGCGAACTCCAATCCGCTTCTTCGAGAAGTCACCCCCAGAACAGAGCCCGTCGTAGTGAAATCAAACGAGCAGGAATCGGGGACCGCTCCTAAAATTGCTAAATTGCTCGAGGAACTCACAAAATGAGTCAAAGCCAACGACAAAAAAATGAAAACGTATAACGCTAGGGTTGATCAAATCCCGGGGGCTCCGCCAATGATAAAAGGGCTCGATTCGAAAAAATTCATACAAAAGCCTTTTCCCTCGAGCGCGGCCCCAAAACCAATCCCCAAAAAATTCTGTATGCCCGAAATTCCCAAATATAATAGTACGACCGATCCTAATGAACACGTCACCTCCTACACATGTGCCATCAGAGGCAACGATTTGGAGGATGATGAGATCGAATCCGTGTTGTTGTAAAAGTTCGGAGAGACCCTCGCAAAGGGAGCAATGATCTGGTATCACAACTTACCACCAAATTCCATTGATTCTTTTGCCATGTTAGCAGATTTGTTCGTAAAAGCACATGCTGGTGCCATAAAGGTTGCAACAAGGAAATCAGATCTCTTCAAAGTAAAACAAAGGGGTAACGAAATATTGAGGGAATTCGTATCCCGATTTCAAATGGAACCTATGGACTTGCCACCGGTCACAGACGATTGGGCCGTACAAGCTTTCACCCAAGGACTGAACGGGCTAAGTTCGACAGCATCACGTCGGCTGAAATAAAATTTGATCGAGTACCCAGCAATAACTTGGGCAGATGTACACAACCGATACCAATCAAAAATCAGGGTTGAAGATGATCAATTGGGAGCTCCGTATGGGCCCTTACGTCAGAACCACACAACCACTAAAAATCAGAGGGAAATCAACAGAGAACAAAGGTCGAACAGAGACCGATACCAACCGTACGACACAGATCGGATGAACAACGGTTCAGCACGTGATGCGGTTTGGAACAACCGAAGGACTGATCGGGGAAAAAAATTCTCGGGGACTTATGAGCAAGAGCGGCTTTGATAAATATGTCAATCCTATAGAAGTCCCTCGATTATCGGAGTATAACTTCAACATTGCTACATCCGCCATCGTATCGGCCATCGGATGCATCAAAGACACCAGATGGCCTCGACCCATGCAGACCGATCCTGCCCAAAGGAATCCTAATCAAATGTGCGAATATAATGGCACCCAGGGCCACAGAACGGAAGATTGCAGACAACTAAGAGAGGAAGTGGCCCGCTTATTTAACAAAGGACACCTTTGGGAATTTCTGAGTGATAAGGCGAAGAACCATTTTAGGAACAAGGAATTCGGCAAGCAAAATGAGCCAGAAGAATCTCAACACGTCATTCACATGATCATCGGCGGCGTCGATGCCCCTCAGGGACCGATGCTTAAACGCACTAAAACATTGATTGTGAGGGAAAAGCGATCTTGAACTCAAGATTATACACCCATAGGGACTTTGTCCTTCAGTGATGAAGATACAGAGGGAATCATCCAACCCCATAACGATGCACTAGTAATATCCGTATTCATGAATAAAACTAAGATTAAGCGTGTGTTAATTGATCCAGGTAGCTCGGCCAATATCATCAGATCGAGGGTCGTAGAACAGTCGGCCTACAAGATCAGGTCGTACCTGCAACTCTGGTTCTAAACGGATTCAATATGGCATGTGAAACCACCAAAGGCGA